GATTGGCTCGCGCAGCGCTTGGCCGGCTGTCACTTTCTCTCCTCCCCGCTGTATCAGCAGAAAAATTGTACTCTTGGCATTTAGCCAAAAGTGCCATTTCCGCCCAATATCTTTTGGCGGCCAATATATCGGTGCAACCCTAATAATAACAGCAATGCAGAATGGCACAGGCTATAGAGGACTACACACCCCAGCAATACTTTATATCACAATAGCATTTCTGTATAAAGTACTGCTGAGATTTGTAGTCCTCTATAACATCACTCCACACTGCGTTTTATGTCCCATCCATAGCATACAGGCCACAGTGTGGAGCCTCTGGTATGTAATGCTGTTTTTGCTGCTCAAAACAGCACTAGACCCAGCAATTTACTGTCTCCCAAAACAGGCATGACAACTGTCAAGGTTTTCTGTCTTTGTCCCCATTAGGGAGATTCACCCTCTTTTTTTTTTTTTCTTTTACCCGGTGATCATTATCTCTGGAAGTGAAAGAAAATCCCAAATTTTGGGTTGTCACCAGAACAGGAATAGATGAGAAATCTTCCAATGGTTCTGGTGATCCTGTTTGACCTCTGCGGACTTTCCTCCCTTTAAATGGATTTCCTCTCATTTCCCAATGGGAAATCTCTCCAATGCGACACCATTGACTGTAGTACGGGTGCATTGGGGTGTAACACACCACGCTGTACTGTAGTTTCTTTGTTGTGCATAAATGCAAAATGTGCGTTTTACCCCGTGATACCATTATGCATCAGTGTAAACAGGCCCTTAGTAATGGAAATATATTCTTTAGCCATAATACATTCTTCAGCACTTTCACATCAGAAGTACAACATACAGATAATAAGATTTGAGTCAAATTAGATGTGGATGGGACGGACTGCATTCAAATGAGAGTGTCCCTGAGCCAAGAGGAGGACTGCTGGGCTTCACTCTTTTTTTTGCTATCTATCTCACGAACTTGGTTTGTTTTTGGGTTCCAGGCGGTGCTATTCTGATTACCTACAAAGAGTTTAATTTCACCCTTAATGGGAGTTTATCATTGACTTCTCAAGTTACTGGACAGGACAACAGGGCGGTGATCAACTCGAAGGTGGTGACCGGAGCCATCACAAATCCTGACAGCCAAAGTCTGAGTAGCCCTGTTACATTCAGACTTTTCCATCTACAGGTCAGTATGTTTAACAGGAAGGAAGTGGACACAGGGGATTGTTTTTCAACCACAATGTTTCTAATAAGCTAAACAGTTCTACCCCAAGAAGGTAAAGCCTAGATGAAATTATAGGCTACGTATAGAGTAATGTACTGTATATGTGATCTTTTATTTGCCAAGTATGGCAGAAAGGGTTAAAATACTCTGTGGTAGTAGCGCGTTGGAGAGGCGGACCACTGCCCTCACTCCCACCTGCACACTACCTGCTATGCTGAATGAATGGCGGTGCAACAAAACTAGCATGGTGTGCTTTCTGCTATGCAATATCATATGTTAAACACATGGATATCAACTCTATCCTTGATAGCAAGCAAGTGAGCTGCAAGTTATAAAATGACTTGCTAAACTTCACAATTTTGTTGCACAATTACAGCAAGTCTGCATTGCAAGTCTTCAGATCAACGTGCTTTGCAAAAGTGCTGGACACTTTCAGAGCTCTTGCTAAGACCTGCAGGACTCTTGCTGTAGACTTGCCAAGCAAATTTGCTACAAATTCAAAAAGTGTCAACTAGAACTTGTGCTGCGAGTGTTCTGCAAGTCTACAACCTGCCAGGAATGTGTGCAGCAAGTTAAAAAGAATTACAATTTAACCCTACCACAAGTCTGTGGCAAGTTATCCTTGCTATCTAGGATACAGTAGTGTGAACCGCCCCTTACTATCATGGTGAGGATGGTTTTACCAGACATGGATTGAGGATAATTCTCCAACAGCAACCCAGGCGGAATAAAAAATATTGTTTTTTAGTAGATTGGGGGGAAGGTTGCAGCTCCTGTCAGATTGTTCATTCTGTCTTTGTTACTGTTAAAGATTTTTTGGGGGCTCGTCCGGGATTGTAATTCTTTTTTTTGGGGGGGGGGGGGCTTGTTTCTTTTAAGATTTTGCCCCTA